AAGTCAAGTTAAGAATCCAATACCTTCTGTCAAAAACAAAGGCTAGTGACATGAAATGTAACTTGGGGGAAAGCATAATATAATTTCCACACCAAATAACCTAAAGCTGAGTCTAGGTGTTTTTTTCTCAGAAAACCATGCTTGTGCTTACATATTTCAAGGTTGCAGTTAGATGAGCCCCATTTTTCTACCCATAACAGTCATTCCAGGTGGCTCAGGAAAGGCTTTTTCATTAATTGGAGTGAATCCTATTGTTAGAGACAAAATAAACTGTGTTATTGGTAGAGGAGAGAAGCATTTTTCAGTGTCAGGTAAAACTTGGAATATTTCAAGGGGAACACTGTAAAGGATTAGGGGGAAATGACTGCACAATTTTTGTTAGAAAGAAATCCATCTGGATTCAAGTATCCTCAGGGATACTTGATGTGGGATGTGCAAACAGCTGTTTTGATTGTTCTGAGCAAAAAGAAAACAAGCACGTTTTAAAAAAATGTTGGTTTTGCCTTCAGAACAAAATCTCTGCCATTCTGAGAGATAAGGTTTTAAATGTTTTTCCGTGTGTGTTGACTCCTATGATTGGGCTGCTATTTTATGGCTTGTGATTGGGCTGCGTATGTGTGTATACACACATACATTGACACACAAACAAATCTATCCAGCCTAGCCAGCACTGTAATAGATGTGTGTCTACTGTTCTTGGGTGGGAAGTAGTGGAAAGATGTGCAGAAGCTGAGCACATGGCTATTACTTCATATGCTTAGACTGAAACTCATCATTCTTATGCTATGCCAAGAATTCTTATCATATATTTAGATATAAAATATCTAAACATTGTTCTTATGGATCTCTCGATCTCTCTCTTTTCTAAGTAAGCAATCAGTTTAACCTTTTCCCTTTGCCACTGCTAATAACCATTACATTGGCATGCATTTGAAATATTTCAGTTAATCTTTTTTTCTGGTTGAAAATTCATACCTATCTTCTAAGAGCTACGAAGCCATATCATTATCAAAATGGAAGATAGTTTACTACTAAAGGACCTTTTAGAATCTATTTCAATTCAGTCTATACAAAATCCATTAGACTCAAAATATCTATTCAAATAGCCATTTGGAAGCTAAATAGCGTGCTAGAAGAATTTGTGAAACTACTTGAGGGAAAAAGCAAACAATTTTCTGAGAGTTCATGTGAACGTGCTTCCGTTCCTGAGAGAAAAAGATTGAAGGATATGCATCTGTTTATCCAAGAAAAGAATCAAAACATGATAGGATCGTGGTGGCGAACCTATGGCATGCGTGCCACAGGTGGCATGCAGAGCCTTCTCTGTGGGCACGTGTGCCGTCACCCCAGTCCTAGGCCTTCAGCTGGGTTTTATAAAACTTTTTCGCTTTAAGCCTCTACCACCGCGTGCAAAAAAAAAGAGGTTCAATCAATTTCAACTTCTCGTGGGAAAAAATAAGATCTCGCAAAGTTGGAATTGATTGATTGAACTTTTTAGTCCCACCCAGTCTGCTGTTACCACTGCAGCCACGCCCACCCTATGGGCCACACCCACCCAATGGGCCACACCCACCCAGCACCCGACGATACATAAGTGGGTTTTGGGTTGCAATTTGGGCACTCGGTCTCTAAAAGGTTCACCATCACTGTGATAGGACATCCCCTCTTTAAAAATATGGAAAGTGGTCACAAACAAGACCAGATTTCTGCTCTGCTGCTTCAGTACTGAGGGGTTCAAATGGATGAGTTCAGTTGCAAGTTTAGGTGCTCTTTACATTACACAGCAACCGTTTTGGATCAACCCTGCATTTGTTGGATGACTTGTAGATGCTGGATAATGATTAAGTAACAATTTAAACAGAATTAAACTTAATTTAGCCTAATTTAAACTCATAACTGGGGTGGGTTTTTTAAAAAAAGATCAAAAGGATGCTTTGTGGAAGGGTATTGTCAAAATCTTCATCTGAAATGGTTCCAAGTTTAACCTCAGGAGCATAACGACTCATTTGAATATTAGAAAGAAGCATTTTTTTTAATGGAAGGATTAATATTTAATGATTAGGATTAATATTGCTTAAATCACGATAATTGTGGTTGTGGTGGTTGTGCATATGAAACTAATTTATTTTAAAAGAATAAAAAAACCAAATAATCTTAGATAAAGCGGGAGTACTTGTGGCTTTCCAGATGTTGTAAACAACAGCTCCCAGCAGACTTCACCATTGGCTGTGCAGGATGGAGGTGGTGAGAATAATAGTACAGAACATCTGGAAGGCCACAGGGTTTTGGGCATGGGCTGATCACTTGTAGATAAATCAAATAAACACATTAAGCTGAATGCCAAAACGGGAATAATGGTTAAACTTCAGCAACTTTGAGTATTCAATCATTAATAAAGAAAAAGAAGAAGTGAGGCAGAAGTAGCAGCAATAGCTGCTGTTGAGGTTTGTGGAGAAAAATCCGTAAGAAAATATTTTTCTCCCTTAAAAAGAAAAATATATAAAAGATGTATCAGAATACTCACTCAATAAGTCTATAAATATTTGGTGTGCTGGGTACTAATGAAAGTAGTAGTAGTTTATTGAATGATTAGTGTTGCGACCTTATCAATAAAATAAAATAAAAAATACAGTGCATAGTTTAATTCTGAAATAAAAGAGATAGGAGAAACTAGTAATCAAATACATATTGTATGTGGCAATATAAAGAGTCAGTAATCAGATAAATGAATCTCTCTTACAGGGTACCCCAATTTGTTCAATGTATCAGATTCTTAGTTATATACTTAGCAGTTCTATGTCCATTTGAGCCCAGGAGGAAATAGGGAAAACTGTGATTCAAATGCTAGTGGGCTATTCTTTCCATTAGGGATGATAAGCATTTAAGCCTAGTGGGGGTATATAATTGACTGTTAAACATAATATGAGAAACATTTTCAATGGCTCGGGTACCACATATGCAGGTTCTCTCCTATATATGGCAGGGGTAGGCAACCTTGGCTCTTTTATGATTCGTGGACTTCAACTCCCAGAATTCCTGAGCCAGCCATAAAAGAGCCAAGGTTGCCTACCCCTGGTATATGGCAAGTGGTGAAAGCACCCATGTTTGACCATGGACATTTCACATCTTGCTCTAGAAGAGACCTTTCTTACAATATGTGTCAGACTCAAATGACAGGTATTTTTCAGGCTGAAAAATAGTTTTCTTAGCCAACCAACCTAGGGATCTATTTTTGAGTCAATACTTCTATGTCAGTTTGAGCACTAATATCTAGGACTCTTTGTTTCAAACATTTCCCATACCTGGGAGGCCTTTGAAAGTAGATGCTGGTTAGAAAACCTATGTTGTGAAATGATTTTAGAAAGTTAGATGACCCAGGAGTTGGGTCATCCTTATCTGTTAAGCATATTTTGGGAAGTCTGTCAGGGTCTATTGAATGGATCCTCTGCCAGTATGTACAAAATTTAATTATTAAATGACTAAGTAAGGAGTGAATACCTATTTCTGCTCTGATCACAATGGCAGTTCCCAGTATGCATCTTAAAAATGGGTCTGAACTTGTTTAAGTGGGATAGCTTTATTAAGGCCACACAATTCTGAACCATACAGTAGGTCATCACTGGGGCTAATTTTGTCCTAAATACTTTCATTATAGTAGTTAAGGTACCTGGGTAACTGTAGTTAAATAATTTGTGTAATATTTAAAACTTACCTCAGCCCTTGCTGGGCTTCTTTTCAAACAATTTAACCATGACCCAGTGCTGGTAAAAACCATTCCTGCATAGGTAAAATAACTCACATTCAATAGGCTCACCATTTATCTCATATATTTGAGACTTTAGATTTGGTTTTATTGATGTTTAAAAAATTAAGAGCACAGTAGGCATTTAGCTTTTGCAGCAACCTTCTGAGGTCATTAAAAGTCCATGATTTTAAAAAGTTGCTGACTCCTGGGTTAGCCTTAGAAGACAACTTCACAATCCATTGGTGAAATCTGGCTTGTTACGATTGTCAGAATTTATTTTAAATTGGGATCTTAGTTTAAATTTAGCACCAAGCAAAGCATCACTTTTTTTAAAAGGGGAACAAAGCTGAGCTAAAATCTTTTTTGACTACCTGAATGAAATTCTTTCTTGAGATATGTTTCCAGGTATTCCAATAAAGTTAAGCCATGATAAATTGATTTGGAAGTCTAATTATATATTGGATTGTAATCAGGTGCTCTGAATGACTTTACTGAACAATTGACAAGATCAGCACTGCAACAAAAGGACTACATCCATTTTTGAACAGCCCTGTTTGGTAATGCTACTGAAAACACTGTTCAGTTGGTTAGTACTGAAAGGAGAACAGCTCATAACAACTCAGTGGACATCAATCTTCGTATTTTAGGACAATCAATGTGGCTTGGGAACAAATCTTTGCTGTAGGCATAGGCAATGAAAATATGTCTTGATCTCTTCTGCCTATTGATTTTCACTTCCTTTCTCCAGCAATGTATGGTAGTTATAAATCAATGGGTTTAATCCAGTTTTGGGAAGAGTTTTCAGATTTTCACTGCTCAAGGCAGTAACCCAAAGGGGAAGTCTTGGAGTATATAGATGGGAAACTTAAGCTTGTGTTTACATCTTAGACAGGTGCTTTGTGCATTTACTAATTGGAAGTTGTTTTGCAGATACCAGTCAAGCAGATTCTAGTGGTGAAGCAAAACATTAGACAAGAATACATTTTGTGCATATGTGCATACCTATTAAAGCGTTGCTGAGGTTAGGGGTAGATTTTAGGGATTTTGTTGATATTCTACTTGCCTTTTTTTTTGCTTTGCATTTTATTGGTCCTTTATTTTATGTCTGAAATTATTATTATTTTATGATTATTATCAGCAGATTAAAAGGCAAGATAGAAATCTGTCAAGTATGTTTGTGTGAAGCTGTAATCCATCAAGAAGAGTTTCTGCAGAAAGAAAATAATCAGTAAATAATACAATATGATGTTATTTTTTTTATAGGCACATAGCATACAGTATTACTACAGCCTTCTTTACAAATGGGAATGCTGGATTTTGTAGTCCAACATATCTGGATGGCTCTGAATTGAAAATGGTTGGAATGTCCATGTTTAAGAAAGGACAGCGTTGTTTAGGGAATTTAATCAACAAGCAAATATGTTTGGGAGATCACTACCATGGAAAACCATAACACATTAATTAAGAACCTTGATCTAAAAACACATCCTTGCATGTGCTATTTTGTAACTAATGTTTGCCCATCCAAGTTCATTTTTTCTGCATGGACTAGATCAGACATGTCAAACTCATGACGTCACGTGATATCGTGTGACGTATCGGAGCTCTTTCCCCATTGCCAGCAATGGGGTGGGCACAGTTTCCTTGTGACGCGTCCGGCCCGTGGGCCAGCAGTTTGACAATCCTGAACTAGATGGAAAAGAATGGATGATATACTGTATATGGCAAAGATTAAATGCATTTATTATAGCACAGATATTGGGAGACTAGAGTCCATTTGCCATGTAGGAATTAGATGGCTGGAGGAAAAAAAATTAATCCCTGAAAAGTAGATGTAACTGTCCCCCACTTCTTTTGAGTTAATTCTGTAAGAACATGAACTTCTGATTGGAAATACTTTTCCAATATCACCTAATGGATTACTGGCTTTAGATAAACTAATCTCTCTCTCTGATTCAGGAGCCATGTCTACATGTCGGAACAATAATATCATTAACCTGACAGATCTATTCAAAAGTTCCTAAAATGATACAGTATTATGAAAGCCTATAAACCTTTAGGTGAAATGTTTATTATGACTACTGCTACAGTGTATAATGCCATTATGCTCCTACTGTATTATCTGCCCCGTTACCTTTCACAGGCTTAATCATTATATTATTTGGAAGTCTACATTTGTACTTTTTAAAATGCATTTCGATTCTTGTTGCTAGTTCTCCAAAGTTCAAGAGCTTCCAGAGAACATTTTGTCATTGCTTTTTTTTATTTCAATGGATTCGAAATATTCACTTTCTCCAATAAAAGACGAGCTATTAAACCCACGACTTGTGGGTCCAGTGCACAATCTAGCAAATCATTTGTAGAAATGAGAGTTTGTGGGGAAGTGGTCATGCATTCTAGATCCTCCATGAGGGCCCCAGAATTAGTAGTCATCATAGATGTCTTCCCAGAAGGATGTAATTTTCCAAAATGTCTCTCACTTTCACATTCAGCTACTCCAGTTGGATAAGTTTCCTGGGACTGTGGTAAAACCTGAAAAAGGCTCTGTCCACAGGGAATTGTTGTCAGCTTTTCTGTTTCAATTACTGTTCTGCTAGAGTCACAGGGTTTAGATTTTATGCACGCAGATTCTGTATTGATCTGTACTTTCCTCCTCTTGTATGACTCTTGAAGAATTCCATCAGTACTGTGCATTTGAGGGACCTGGTGCTTAATTACACTTGTCTTCTGATGTTCTAAATAAGAAGACACCGCTTTGTTTAAATACTCAAGGTTGGTATTATGGGATGTTACCTCAACCTAGAAAAAAAAAAGAAAATAGAATTCAAGCTAATATCTACATGACTGTTAAGAATTTTTTGAAGCCGTTCCCACTCAGAAGCTATTCTCATTATTTTTATTTGCTTTGTTCTTTGTCTTGTGAGGATTTAAATACATGCCCATGCACACACAAATACACATGGATACACACATATATTTTATTTATCTCTGCTTCTTTCTCAGTTTTAACTATTTTACCTTCACCATCCTTGAATTTGAAAAGCTGTAGTGGCTTAGCATTCTTTCTATTTATTTCTTTTAGGGGGGGGAAGCATCCTTGTATTTTTGTAAAATTCACAGTTAAGCTGTGTTTTATAGGGTATCAATCAAAATATCATATCAGCTTTTGAGTTGCTCCAAACTCTTCATCAAAATGGGATGCAGAAAAAAATGAGAACTGGAGAAAAAAAAACTTTAATTAAAACAAATGGGTTAGATGTTAAGATCATAAGGTCTTAATTTTTTTAATTTTAAAGTTTTTAATTAAAATTTTAAAGTTACCTTTTAGAGCAAGTCTCAAGCAGCCTGAAAAACATTCTCAGTGCTAGACTCAAAGACATTGGAACAAAGAAAGAATGGTTGACCCCTATTTCTGAAAATATACAACTGGATGCTCTCTAAATCTGTCCCTTGTCCTAAAAGAAGTATTAAGTTTAGATTCACACAGTATTACTTTCATTTAAAATATTTTGTGCTACATCCCATGTCATAAGATCTTCCAATCCAATCAAGCATATCTGAGAGAGAAGAATCCAATCTATCACCTGGGTTCAGCTGAACATACACCTTTATTTGGAATGGAATGGAATGGAATGGAATGGAATGGAATGGAATAGAATAGAATAGAATAGAATAGAATAGAATAGAATAGAATAGAATAGAATAGGACTTTTTTATTGGCCAAGTGTGATTGGGCACACAAGGAATTATATCTTATATAATACTTATTGCACTTATATCTCAGCTTTTTTAAAATTAGGAACTCAAAGTGGTTCAGAAAATAAAGCAGTTAAAAAAAATAATCTTCATAGACCCCCAAATCATACACAGAAAATAAAAGGTATCAAAAAGTAAGAACCAGCATGTAGAAGTACTTGGAACAAACTGAAATGAAGTAGTCAAAGACTTCCAGAAATCCCTGTGCTTTAGGCAGACACTTGAAGGCACTATATAACTTTGGAGCTCCTTCCCATTTAAAACTCAGGAAGTATAATGGAGTTATTGTACATTATTTGTCCCTATAAAAGCGAATTCTCCATGCTAAGGCTGAGGCATAAATCCTCTTACTCAACCATTACAGGCAGCTGGGGGAGCACTAAAGAACATATTGGGCACATCCCAAAGGTATTTCCATCCCCATTTAACTGAGATGGGATGACTGCAGCTCCCAAGGAAATGCATACCCACAGCAAACCACTCCAGTGAAGGAAAAGAAGGAGACAGCTAAATACCAACTCTATGTTCATGTTTGATTTTGCATGGGGTTGCCCATAAGAATGGAATGGTGTGTGGTTCGAAGCTCTCCCTGGCCAAGTGCTCTTTTCCCACAAAATCCTGCAACATCATAATAATATATGACCTTATTAAAGTGCATCCCCAAACATACAAACTGCATTTCCTGTTGTAGGAGGAGGAGCTAATGGCTGAATCTTATTATCAAATAACTAATATTTTGATGTGCATTGCAGTGGTTCTTCTATACAGTAGTGGCCAAAATTGTGGAAACCTTTTGGGAAGAGTGTACAGTAGAAAAGTTTCCACCAACTTTTCTTCTAATTTCTTTATAACTGTAGCCTTGTTCACTTAATAATACTATTTTACATCGCTTTCTGGGCAACCAGTCAACTCTTTGCACCATTACTTTAATTTTATTACATTTTACAAGCTCACTAAATGAAAGAACACAAAAAAACCCAACCAACTTGATAGCGATCACATAACACACTGAAATGTCCTCCTCTCAGCTTCAATACATGACATCAATAACTGAATCCTACTGTGATCTAATTGGCTCATTGCCAAAACAAGATGACACCTGATTGGCTCTCTAAACACTCGTGCTCATTGGCTACAATCAGATGAAGGAAAGCTACCTGATATCAACCTAAGCAAGTTGTGCTTCCTTTTTCTGGTTATTTGGCTATAACTTTTCATAGAATACAGTACAGATAATTGAACAAACTTTGTTGTATTACATTCTTGATTAAATTATCTTTCCATTGATATATAAATTTATGGTACCACTCCAAAAAAAAGTGGTGTTATTAGCCATGAAACCTCAAAAATACCCTTTTCCCAAAAGGTCTCCACAATTTTGGCCACTACTGTATGTTATATTCAGTTTTGGATGAAAAGTTAAATAATAACTTAAAAGTTTAAAAGTTAAACATAACAGAGTTATGTTTGTAACTCCAACATCCTAAGTGGCAATTAATATTGATAAAATGTTTACTATTCTTTTATTTTCAATATTTTAAGCTTTCTAAATAGTAGAATGTTAATAATTTTTAAATTGGACTACACAAACATTGCTGAATTGAAATCATGCAATATCATCAAGATTTATAACATTATCCCCCAAAAATCTAACAACTCCAAAACATTTACTGTTCTCAGATTGCTAAATCCACTGATTGTGTATAGTGTACAAAAAGAGATAAAAGCAAAATCCATATTTTACAGAAGGATATGGTACTCAGTCTGCACCAATATTGCATTTCTGGCTTAGTACCAAATCTAAGATCAAATGAAACAGCCAGAGATATTCATGCTTAGTCACTCTGGAGATGCTAATCCTTGCTGCATACAACTGAGGCAGGGATTGGCAACTTACAATAATATCATTCAGGCAAAAATGCACAAAAACTTTAGAGGATAAAATGAAGAGGAAAACCTCTGTGGGGTTGAGCCAAGAATCTGTATCACTGGGGTTTTCTGCAGCCTTCATTGCACATATCATTGTTCGAGTTATTGCCTCTTCTATGCGGGCTTCATGATCTGCATCCTATAAAAAAAAAGCAAGGAAAACATGGGATATTTTGAATAATGAAAAGGACTTTGGTTGGCAGGAGAAGGAACATTTGTATATGCTGAGTCCAATGTATTTTGAAGCTATGACTATTCCTTTGTGCATTGGTCTAAACCAGTGTTTTTTCAAACTTGGCCCCTTTAAGATGTGTAGACTTCAACATCCAGAATTCCCCAGCCAGCCTTACTGGTTGAGGAATTCTGGGAGCTGAAGTCCACAAATCTAAAAGGGGGCGAGTTTGAAAAAAACACTGGTGTAAATGGTAGGGTATGCAGGTAGGGAGGAGGTATGCTTCATTTTATAATCATATTATGAAGGTTCTCTAATATTCTGAAGAATCAAAACTTTATCTAGCAGTTGTAGAGGCTCTGGAATACTGTCTTGTATTATACAAATCACAGCACTCATGTTAAAAGGATCTGTGATTTCCAAAATAGGCAGACAGGGTAATTAACATCCCTTGTTATTTTATCTGGGATTTCATAATTTCATAAAATGCCCATAAAAGCTGCCTGATCAAACAATTATATAATTTTTCCTAATTGGCAGTTGTTCTATTGCATTAGTGTCTTGTTAAATTGAGATTTATGAACTTTTAATTTATACCAGAGGGATATCATCTAATATATAGAATCTTTAATTTAGGAAGATCAAAAAGGCATGTCCCAAACTTTATCTCTCAAAGATTTAAGCTCTTAAACACACACATACTGTCTCCTTCACACACAAATTACTAAGAGAACACAAATGCCTTGTGAGTTATTACTAAATTATTCTAAATTCCAGGGAGCCTGCTGTCATCTGACAGTTTCACCAGCTCCACTAATGTATTATTGCAGTCTTACACAGCAACAGAAGGGTGAAAAAGGCAGCGTTGGCTTTAATGAAGGATACCAGCATAGTATTTTAAAGATGAAACAGGAATTCTGTAATTGATTCTTACATGCTACAAGGTGTCATGTCTTTCTTAGGTGCCTTTAGGCGGTGAAATACAAAGACTAATTTAGGATTTCATCAAGATGAGCTGCCTAGGAAAACAAAGCCTTCATGTTTAGCTGAATTGCTTGGAGTTGGGGACAGTTCCGGGGCAACAAGAAACAAAATCATTGCATAAAATGGTACTGGTGCCCCACAATCCTGCAGGCAGAATGAAGAAGTGAGGCTTGATTGCTTGAATTTACGTATGAAAATGAGGATGTAGCAAAGAGATAGCAAGATGCAACCTTTGCTCTTGATCAGTAGCTTACAACTTTCCCACAGAAACTCTTAAAAAACAATACCCTTTTCTTTCTTCCTATTTTCTCTGCCTTTCCTCCTATCATCTATTGCAGGGGTGTCAAACTCAATTTCACTGAGGGCCGCATCAGCATTGCGGTTGCCCTGGGGGGGCTGGGTGGGTGTGGCCAGAGTGGGTGCAGCCTACTGGATTGGCGTGGTTGGAGTGGGTGTGGTCTACTGGGTGGGCGTGGGCAGTTCTACATCATTCGCGTCAAGGGTGGCTGTGGGGGCCTGGGCAGGAGTGGGACAGATCTGAGGGTCTCTGGCAGAAGGGGATGGGACCGGGGCAAGCGCCAAGGCATGGTCCACCGGGGCAAGTGCCAAGATGGCCACCACAAAATTGTACATTGGCTCCCGGCTTGCCTGGGCCAGGGCCAAGGCAGCGGGGGCCGTTCCCTCACTGTTTCCAGGATGGCTTTGCGGGCAACAGGAAACCACTTCGTGAGCCGCATCTGGCCCCCGGGCCTTGTGTTTGACATGTCTGATCTATTGCCATTATTATGCAGACTTAATAGGCCAGTTGCATTTCTGATGATGCCATGTCATATTTATATCAGATAACTCATATCTGCCTGAAAAAAATCAAGGTTATAATTTACAAATTAACAGAGCTTTCTGGTAAGCCAAATTCTGGTTCAGATCCAACCAGACTTCAGCATCCTACATTTGAGGTTGACCTTTATATCATGTGATAGGATTGCTTGAAAACATTCAAGAGAAGCACTTGCACCTTGTTTCCTAGTACAAACACACTTCTGTGATTTGTGTGGGCAATGTAGTCTATGCAGATCATATATCAATCCTTCTCACCCATGGATAGTAGCTCAAATTAAAGCAGTACAAACCTCCTTTATATTAGTGCAATATAGTGCACTACAAAGAGCCAGTTTGTTGTAGTGGTTAAGGAAACAGGCTTGAAATCAGGAGACCCACTTACTCTCTCCCTCTCTCAGCCCTAGGAAATGGGCAAAGGGCAAATTACTTCTGAAATCTTGCCAAGAAAACTGCAATCAATTGTCCAGCCAGTCACTAAGAGTCAACACTGATTCAGGGGCACAAAAAAGTGTACTATAGTGCAATATTAGAGGTTTGATGCCATGCTTCTTTTTGTTAAGTCTCTCATTAATACATTGAATAATCCTAGCTCTGGAGATTCAGAAGAAACTCTTGTAGAATTTAGAATTGCATTAAGTCTTACCATTTTATTTCAAATGTTATTGCTGCTGCATAAATAGTTAGGGGAGCTTTTCTTCCTGCTCGTTTTTCTCATGACCACAAGGTAAGTCATACAGTCAGGAATATATAGAATTACTGTACAGAGCAGTAATTCCACAAAATTGGTACCGTTCAGGGACAAGAGACTTTCTCTTGCAGGCTTTTAATATAGTTTATCACAACACAGCTTGCTAAGTCTGAAACATTTAGCTTCACCTTTTAGCATCTGAAATAATGCATATTTAGAGCAGCTTATCTTAGCCATATGAAAATTGTCAGGCTTTCAGGGTACTGCAGCTCTGAAAAGTTCATTCTGCCTGATGAAGCCCATGAATAATATTAATCACTTATCTTAGAATGCAAACTTTGGCGTGGTCTCAATGTGTCAGAAGCAAACTAAACCCTGCTCCTCTTATTGTAAAGCATGAGTAGAATAATTAATTGTATCAGTAGAGCAGTTGAAACTGGCATGGCACTCACTTATCATATCAATATGATAGCAGCTGCTTATTGCCATAAGCCAGAGTACTGCTTGAGTGAATAATGGAAATGTTCTTGATATTACTTTTTAACATCGATGTCATGTATTGTTTTTCCAAGATGGATAACCCTACATCTAGAAAGGAACGTTGCCATCATCTCTGGAGATAATAGGATATAATCAGCTGTCACCACAAACTAAGGGTAGTCCTAGCATTCCTCAAGTTACACAATCTCCATGCTCAACTTATATTGTTTGTGAGGTTTTGGCAAGCAAAATTGGAATGTATTGAACCTGCTTACTTTTTTACTCTTAAATATATGGGCTATATTGAGAGGTGTGAGGCGGGGAAATAATGTATAAGACATCCTATATCAGGGGTAGTCAACCTTGGCTCTTTTATGACTCGCGGACTTCAACTCCCAGAATTCCTGAGCCAGCATGGCTGGCTCAGGAATTCTGGGAGTTGAAGTCCGCGAGTCATAAAAGAGCCAAGGTTGACTACTCCTGTCCTATATGAATGGGGGGAGTTCTGGCCATCGGTGTACCACAATTCCTAGCATCCCTCTCTACTGCTCATGCTGGCTGGAACTGCTAGGAGATCATTATACCCCACTGGAGAACCACTAGCTTCCCACCCTATTATACCCAGTATTATCACACGCAATTTCTTAACATATCAACTCAGCCCCAACCTACAATTAGGAGATCATACTAATCTACTTTCTCAACAAAATATAAAGGCACTCTCTTTATCTAATAACAGTGTTTCAAATTTTCTCCTCCATATCCTCTGCAAACGATCTGTCTCCTGATCAAAGGATGTAGATTTATTGGCTCTGCGCTAAAAAAAACCCCCTGCTCTGAGATCTGTCAAATTTGTTGAAATACATTCATATAGATTTTCAACTACACAAGGAAACAGAGCCTGGAATGGATTTCTAATCCCATCAAGCTTCAATGATACCTCTTTCCAATTTCCTCTCCACATATTTGATGTCAGATGGATGAAGAGACCGTGTCTATGTCTGTTACAAATCATTCTTTCAGGTCTCATTTCTACCTACATCGCTTTGATTTAAAATTTATGCAATCAAGATGTTGAATTATGTAGCATAATTTATGTATGTGGTATGTTACAGATTATAAGTGGATGGGCCTCTTGTGGGCCTCAGTGATTCAGTGCTAGGGAAACCAAAAGGAATGGGAGGGGATGGAAGAAAAAGTTATTCTAGTAACTGCTCTGCAATTATTGTACCTACATATGCATAATACTAATTGACAATAAGGTAGACAGATGTCATGGCCGAGAGTGTAGCTTGATAGTAGCACACATGCTTTCCATACTAAGAGCGCCTCGTTTAATTGCCAAGATCATTATGGAGAAAAACTCTAGCATAAAATTGTGGGAAAGTTGCCAATTAAACAACCTTTTTGTTATGAATCTTTGTTATAAACTAACCCAATAAAATTTATGCTATCAATGGATTGTTTGTGAATATGCAGGTTATGATACTCCATATGGTTTGCAGCTGGCAATTTTAACACATAAAATGATTAAAATCATTGAAATGATTATAAGAAATGTACCAGTTCAATCCAGGAATTAACGCTAACGGTGATGGGGTCAATGGACTCCACATAATGCCACCAGTGTCTAGGAACCAACAAGACCTGAAGCAAAAAGGAATGAGAATTGAGAAGTTCTTTTCTTACAAACATGTACATTGCACAAGAGCATTACATTGTAAACAGAAAAAGTTGAAAACAAGACTTTTAACACTAGTTTAAATCTTTTATAATTGATCTCCACTTGCACTTGATACATCTAAGACAGTGATGGCGAACCTTTTAGAGACCGAGTGCCCAAACCGCAACCCAAAACCCATTTATTTATCACAAAGTGCCAGGGCCGCATCAGCATTGTGGTGCCCTCAGGGGGCAGAGAGGCGCCTCTGAGTGCCGCCTCTGGAACGCAAAAACTGG